ACACATTGTACAGGTGCAAATGTTTTTATCTATTAAAATAATTCTGGAGGAGGAGGGGGGAGGAGGGGAGGACGGGGGAAGAGGGGGGGGGGGGGGGAGGGGGGGAGGAGGAGGCGGTTCCATCATTTGCAATGGAGCCAAAAACTCACTATTTTTTGGTTTGAGAATATGTTGGAATAAAGCAAAATGGCACACTAAATTGTCTGTGCTTCTTTGTTATGAATTAGCAGTCAATCTATGTAATTTTGACGCGATTTCCACTATGGATCATTCGGAAACAGCCTCTCTGTACTTTAGTACAAGGGTAAGGCTGCGTACATCCGACCCCCCCTTACCCCACTGTAGGTTAGAGCCTTTGTGGCACTGGGGTAACGATGATGGTGATGGCTTCTCACCGGTGGCTGGAAAAACCGGCAAGTTTAACAAATCTTTTTCGGTGGCTCGTCAAACCGGATCTATTTCGAGTAGCACAAGCAGTCAAATTGCGGGACGAGTCTACATAGTTGCAGGGTTAGCGAACATAATAGTTTTTATACGGCTTTTTTGTTCTTTGACTCACCCTAGGGTAGCATTGAACGATGTGATTATAATGCTTTGGCATTTGATTGTTATGTTTCTGGTTACCCATATCAATAATAATTAAGTTATTGATTTTTTTTTTTAAAAAAAAAGAGCATAAAAAACTAGAAGATAAAAGTAACAATAGAACATAAAATTTAAAAGATAAAGAAGATAGATGATAAAAGAAAAAGGAGATATAAGGAGAAAAGAGATCAATCGTCCACACGAATGTACACCCTCCACTTTGCTCTCACTGAGTTTCTTTTTCTCTTCCCTCAAGTCATCTAACAGGTATCGCACTCGGTCTTCAACGCACAGGCTCAAATCACCGTAAACGAGACTCCTGCACCTTATTTCTATATGCGCCACTCTCACCTTTTGTCTAATTATCTCATTCCTCAAGCTTTCTTTTCTGGTATCTCCACACTTCCAACACAACATACACATCTCTGCCACACTTATCTTAAGAATGTGACATTGTTTCACCATCCAACATTTTATGCCATACATTAATGCATAAACTAATTGTTGTTCGGTAAAATTTACCTTTCAATATAGCCGTCATACCTTGACCGTATAGAAAACCTAATGCACTCTTCCATTTCATCCACTGAGGGTTGATTCTATGAGATACATTTCCATCTAATTCAACATGCTTCATGGAGACTAAAAATGAGACATAACTAACATTCATACACTCAATACACCATATTCAGTTTCTTAAAAATATTTAGCCAATTTTGACACTTCAGACATAACTTAATCAATTCGTCACATTTGATACCACTGTGAGTTTGATACCAAATGACATTCCATTATTATCAAATGAGTTCCAGGTTTGTAAATTTATAAGAAACAAGTTAAATTTATAATTTCATACTCGAAACAATGTTATCACATTTAAAATTTCAATTCATATGATCTTTAATTCAAGATATTGTTCTTAATATTTTAATGGTTAAATATCCCTACAATAATACTTATTTACAAAAATATGAAAAATAGTTACTACAATGTAATGTTATGATAAATTTTGGTTAAAAATTGAATACTTCGTATAAGTTATCACGATCTCATTATTACTCAATCTAGTCACTTGTCATTTTTTGCAAACAATTTATTTTTTAGTCAAGTAATTATTTCATATTCTAAACCCATATGGACGAATGTTTATATCTTACCGACTTACCTTATAATTTAGAAAAATAGTGTGTCACTTCGGCGGTATGGCTCATGGCCATGTGACGTGCACTTTGTCGTGTGTGCACTCAAAATAAATCGATATTAACACTTACACGTAGTATAGGTGAAGTAGAGTTCGTATCTACAGGGAAATGAATAATTTATCTTTTTAACGAAAGGAGTAAATAAAGGGGGGTTTTGATTGTTGAGTGATTTAATTAAATTTAAACACGAAGATGAACGAGTTATATGGGATTATATTCAAGAATAAAAAGGACTTGGTCTTGTTACTTTCCACTTGTTGATATATTTTAGTCGATCATTGTTATATCTATAACTTATCCCCTCTAGAATACTCAATCGAGGAGTATATCCAATTCATCGAGGGTAGTTAATAACAACGACCGTTCATTAATAACCCTTACTATTAATCAAATATAGAACAACGCCGTATACCGATATAATAGTAGCATTTAACCTCTTTCACTCCTTGATGAAATCAATTGAGATTGATAACCTCAACACGACGGTTTCGGTTTAACCAACAAAATTAATCCCTCTTAAGTTTATTAACCACGACCGTGCATTAATAAACTGAAGTTACTTACTTGTGAAACTATCAACGTTTAACCATCGGTTCGTTGATCGTTTCTAGTAATAATCAATGTCGGAACGTTAACTAATCGTCACTTAGCCACCCTCCAACATTAATATAGAATGAGATTAAGGGAAGAATTAATAATCAAGAGGAGAAAGTAAGAAAATAACTCACAACTTTAATAATCAACAAGCTTCAAGAGCAAAACCAAGAAATGGAAGTTTAGCTCCTCATTTGGAGACTAAACATGCTAAAAGAAATATAGAGAAATGCCATTCTAAACTGAGCTTAAGAGTATAAAGGAATTGGTATCCTATTGTGAAGGAAAGGGGTGTATTTATAGGCTTTTGGGACATGCAGCTCGGGTACTCGATCGAGTATGGAAGTATACTTGATCGGGTATGTGTAGAATGGTGAATTTTGAGCCATACTCGATCGAAGTCGGGTTGAAATTTATATGTATACCCGATCGAGTATGTCGGTGTACTCGATCGGGTATGACAATAGAACGTGGCCAAATCTTTCCTTGCATGTTCCTTTGTTCCCGGATCGGATCCTTGAAAATCAGTATTGGTACTCGATCGAGTATAAGGTGTACTCGACCGAGTACAGGTCAAAATCAGGAACTTTCCTTATTTTTGTCTTGTACTCTTGCACCTTCCTTCACCAATGATCATTTGATTGATCGATCTTGGACCTATTTAAGCTCAAAATAAACCTAATCTAAACAATTTACAAGAATTTAACAAACTAAACTATTACACCAAAAGTGTGTTGTTTCCGAAATATTAAACAATCAAAACTAACTAAAAACGTAAATAAACACACGGAAATTACAAGCGTATCACCATGGCTCATCCTAAATTTTAAAAATGTCTTAATATTTAGGGTAAAAAATTCCGTGTAAATTTTTTCCCAAAAATATTCTTTATACCGGCACAGTCGGGCCCAGTGTCCTGGCTCCGCCCAGGGGAGGCTGGCGGTGGCCTTGGCCCCTGCAAGAAAAAAATTGTGATGTATATATATATATATATATATATATGAATAAATATTTATAAGTAGTAAAAGATATAGTGACAATTTAAGTTTTGACCCCTACTATATAAATTCTTTAAACCCTGGTTCCTGTAACCTGTCAATCATGTCCCTGCCACTGGCTCCGCCCCTGTTGGTAACGTAAGAAGGGTGATCGGTTCATGTCAGTTCAGCACATTTGATGGTTCATTTCGTTACGTACTCCGTAAATCGTAATACGTATATTAAGTTGTTCGGTTCGTATTATGCTTATTCATCATTACTTATTTTTATTTTACTCAAATTAAATTAGAATATATCATTAACATTCTGAAAATATAGATTTAGATCACACTAGAAAGGTTCAGGTAAGACAAAAAAAATTCATTTCAGATAAAAAAAATTCAGATAAAAAAGTTAAAATGATCCAGATCAGATCAAATCAGAGAGGTTCATGTTAGATTAGAAAGATTCATATTAGATCGAATAAAATTCAGATCACATCAGATCTTAAAAAATCAGATCGATTAATTTCATATTGGATCAAGGAAGAAACATTCAAATCAAGCAAACAAAATATGGAGTAATTTTAAACTCATAATAATACAGAGGAATAATTTACCCCATACAAAATTTTGATATTCGATCTCGTGCATATACATACTCCGTGCTACTTTGTGAGAAAATAATGAGATACTCCGTATTTTATTGAGCACTAATGCATTTGAAAATAATGAGATATTTTGACCTCACATATGTTCCTATTTTCTTTTTAATCTAAAATTTGTTATTATAATTGGACATATAAATATGTAATCGCAGTACCCAATCAATTTATTAGAGAAAACTTTATGTCAAGTATATTCCATTTAAGAGCCTGTTTGGTAGCACGAAAATTGACTAATTTGGCCGATTCTGCTGATTTAAGTTCTGGCTCATTTATGAAGTTCTGGTTGGAGTGGCTGCGTTGGCCGATGCTGATTCGAGGAAAAATTATTTTTAAAATATATACTCCGTACATAGTACTAATAAAAAAATAAAAAAAAATTATATGTACAAATAACTAAAATGACCATCTACAGTAACTTCAGGCAATACAACCGGAAAAGTAACTTCAACTTTTAGTTTTTCCGCTTATTACACAATTCAGCTGGCGCAAGTAAAAATTACGTGTTTAGTGGAAAAGTTAACTAATAATAAGATGAAAAATAGTGGTTCCAAACGACCTCTAATTAATACTTTCTTAATACTCAATGTGAGTATATATCACTACATGACTACACGATGGGCAGCTAATAAGGACTATTATATTCCTTGAAGTACAATTCCTTTTTTCTTTGAATAGGTTAAACGCTGCAGCGTACCGTTCAAAAAACAAATCCGACTATAGCTAAATACAGCAACTACCTACTGAAAATCTCAAAAGGATCTGATTTACATTCTTCTCCAAGAGGTAGACCTCAGCTGGTTGCCATAACTAAAAGTAGGAACACTGCAAAGTGATTATGGAGTTGCAGACGAGAGCATCCCCATTTCTTGTATATCCTTATCCAGAACAAGGTACTTACGTCTATTCTCGCTGGATCCAGCTCTGGCTATATAACCAACAAGTTACCAAGCTGTTGTTACCCATCTTTTCTTCAAACTTTTTTTGAGTTTTCAAAATGCATCCAGCTGCGGAAATCTCAATTTTTATCTCCTTCATCTTGGTCTGTGGGGGTTTGGGTTATTCTGTCTTCTGGCTTTGGCGTAATAAGTTTTTGACCTTCATGATATTCATGCTAGGTTTGTTTTGCACTGTTTGGGGAATCACCATCGTTCTTGACTTTATTAAGGTTTCACGCTGGGTCATATATGGGTCTATATGGGTCCATATAGGAATGAATCTTATTGGGGTTCTGTACTGGATTTGTGGGGGTGTCTGTGGGGAGGGCCTCTTATTCAGACAGAGAATATGTGAAATCGAATTCTGGATATGGGTGTTTATGGTTGTCTTGAGTCTCCTGGAATCCATAGCCTACCAAGCCATTCTCCCCTTAGATGAAAAAAATCCACCACAAAAAAAAATTGAACTTTTCACAAAGGTGGACAAGCTGTATCCGTTCCTGGTTGGTCTTGCTACTGTCATTGAAACATGGGTGACACGGTGCTCGGACATTAAGTTCGAAAAAAAGAAGTCTGTTCCGGTGAAGAGTATTGAATCCGCATTCAAGACAATGATCGATGGGTACATTGAATCTGGTCATATGGCTCGAGAGGGAGACACAGGCGATCTTCGACTTCTTTCAGAGGCCTTCGATGCTTTTCTTAACGAAGTGAAAAATGAGGTTCCCCGGATGGAAATCCATGTGGTGTAGTGGAATTTGCTCTTAGTACGGAGTATTTATTGTTTGTGTGTTGTTTATTTGGCCATTTCTGTTCGACGGCCTATTAGGTTGAATTTTCTTATTTCTGCATTTCGATTTTCAATTCCGGTTGTCTTTGTTTTGTCTCGTTTTATGTTTCGTGGTAATGGTTTGTCTTGTGTCGTTTTATGTTATGTCGTAATGGGGTGTTACGTTTTGTAATGGTGTAATGGTTTGTTTTGTGTTGAATGAAGTTCTTATTATGTTTTACTACGTATGTATGTTATTTCTCCATTTCTAGTGTACTCATTGTTTAATTACTCCGTATTTGATTTATTTCCTCTATCATTACAATTATTTCATTTTCAATCGGGTAATCTAATTATATAAGAATTTTCTCTAAAATATTGCTTAAATAAATTGTTATTAATTGAGAACGTAGTCGATCAACAAACTACCCCAAACTAAATTATACCAGTTATAATAATTAATTGGATAACTACCTCTGCCACATTTACCAATTACTATCCTCCATTTCTTTTTAATTGTAATTAATTTTACATTATTCATATGCTTTACCTTGATTACATTTTATGCTATTATTTTTTAGATATTATTTTTCAAAAAAGATGTTGTTCAATTCATCTCATTATAAAGTTTCAAAATCCGATTTTTAATTTATTTTTACCAATAGAGATTAAGATATAATTACGATCAAAGACATGCCTTGACGAATATGAAATGTTGATCATTGCAACTAAAAAAGAAGGGAGGAGGAAGTATTACCTATATATTTATAGCTAAAATAGACATCTATAGTAACTTCAGCCAATACAGCCAGAAAAGTAATTCCAACCATACTTTTTTTTGCTTATTACACAACTCAGCGCGCGAAAGTAAAAGTTACGTGTTTGGTGAAAAGTTGGCTGATAAGCCTGATAAGCCAAAAATGATGTTACCAATGACCTCGAAGAGATACAGAGATGAAGATATATTCCCAGGCAGATGATTGTGGAGCATAAGTATGTACATATATATCAATCGGTAAGAAATTGATTTTAAAGAAATAAACATTACAATGAAACACATAAATTATTGGGAGAATTTGAGTTTGCACCCCATATTTTAGATGATATTTGAGTTTGCACCATATTTTTAAAATCATTAATATATGCACCCCAATTCACTATAAAATCATTTGACTTTGCATCCCACTCCTTCACAATTTTTTAGGTGTAACTTAATATTGTTAATTTGGTGTAACAAGTTTCACTCAAAAGTTGAATTCGAACTTCACGCGAGGGATCAAAGTAGTAACTAGATTTGGTCACTATCACAACGGGTCAGTTAGTATATTTGGTCAAATGGAGTAATTGTAACTGATTGGTTTGGTTAATTGTAACTGATCAGATCGAATACATATAATCAGCAGTTATCTTCAAAAATTAATTTGAATGTGTTCTCGATTGAATTTTTAGCTCAAATTTGGTATGAGTAAACTTGACTTGATGAATAAGATGCTAAAAAAAATTTATCAAAAAAATTCCACCGGAAACCACCCCAAATCGCGACGGCCAGATAGAGCATCTTAAATAAGACTTAATTGACTTTTTATGAAAGTTCGAACACGGTTTTCCAAAAAAGTAATATCAATAATCGTAATTCAGAATGGACAGGATGACTAAGTACCGATATGGCGATATTCCTTGCTTTATGTATTACGTAGTACTCGTATAAGATAAGATAGGTTAACACAATAATCATTTTTTTCCTTCACAAGTGTAAACTTGTGGAGTTAAGTATACAATTTAAACATACGCAAATTTGCTTATTAGGATGTACGCAAAAATACGCAAAATACACAACTGATACTCCCTCTGTCCCTGAATTTACTTCCAACTTTCCCTTTTCGTCCGTCCCAAAAAGAACTTCACTTTCCCTTTTTGGTAAAGAATTTGTGGTTCACAGCATTTCTCTCTCCTCTGCACAACTCTCCACCACACAATTCTCACTTTCTTAATCACCGTGCCACTTTAATTTGGAAGAACAATTAGGGACGGAGGGAGTATTATTTTTATCTCACGAATGAAATTTTAGATTGACAATTGCATTTTCACCTTTTTTTTGAACGAAACTGACTTAACTTATCATAACCAAACAGACCAAACGGACCAAACCAAAACAGGTTACAAAGTGACGACAAGTCTCCTGTCTACCGTCTGCCTAAGGACCAGACTCAGAATTAATCACATCCGTAAAAGCCATATAATTCGCTGATCCCGTTTTGGGCTTACCTGAGCCTATGACTTGCAGACACGACTCCCCATTTCTGTCAAACAACAAATAATAACTCCTATTTAGGGAATATTTAAACATTGGTCCGATCCTATTTTGACATTTAAGAACTTAATTACTCTCATTTAGATAAATCTCGCTATTTTAAATTATATACTCCGTACTAATTATAACATACGTAGTATGTATATTATAGAAAGAAAAAACGATCAATTGCCAAAATATGTTTTCATTCAAAGTTCATGTCACATATACTTCGTATCATATTATGTAATTTGTACGTAGTATGTAGTAGGGAGTAGTATTTTTCTCCCAAATAATTACCACCACATTCAAAGTCTGTTTAGTGATCATGTTATTATGTTTATCAGTCAAAATTTTGATCCAACACGTAACTTTGATTAAACACATTGAATTGTATAATTATCTAAACACGTTAGAAAGACTTTTTAGTTATTTTTCATATAATTTTTATCTTATTTTATTCAGAAAATGTAATTTAAATATCATTTTTATAAATTAATAGAATCAGTCAATTCAACCACTACAACTAAAACTTAAAAAATTTAAATAGAATCAATGAATTCAATCATTTATTTAAGTAGATCTAATTGTACGTGGTAGCCATATCTAAAAGTAAGAAAACTGCAAAGAGATTATGGAGGTAAATTTAGACAATGATTTTGACTAATATAATAGGTAGTGTTTGGAAAGATCACTTATAGCAAGAGACAATGTACAAAGATACTCATGTAGTATGCATGTGAAAACAAATATACCCCTATTCTATTTTTCGGAACACAAATATCGTTGAAGTGAAGTATATGTTGAAGTGCATATATACCTCTAAACTTCTAAAAAATGCAAAATATAGTTTTTTCCCGGGGAGGGGTAATTTGTAATATTATTTCCCAGACAAGGGTACTTTTGAACTCATTTCCCAAATTATGGTACTTTTGAACTTATTTCCCAAACGGGGGTATTTTTTCCTTGTCATATGTATGTTTGCATAATCTAAAAACAATAAAAACAGTTTCTTGTGTGGAGGCCAAAAAATGTCAAAACACTAAAGAAAGGAGTTAGTTATAAAAGCTACTGGAATCCGCTAATATCAATCTGTTGATACAACCGGTTATGAGTTAGCAAACATTCGTTATTATAAAAAACGGTCGTTGACATTTTTAGACTTCCACTTTTGATGACAAAATCAAAGTAAAAGAACTGCAAATGTCAATTTCATAATATTTAGAATACGAAATGTCGAGAATTCTAAAGTTGAGGATCAAGAATTTATCACTCTCAAAAGTAAAAAAATTGACTAATTTGTCATTAAAGCATCTTTTTTATTACCAATTTGTCTGAAATTGTTTTTTTACCAATCTGTCCAACAACCCTCTTTTTTTAACCAATTTGGTAATTTGGCCGTGGTATTTAAATTATTTTCTCAATTGTACAAGCAAGACTGCCAAAACCAGCGAATCCGGAAATTGGAAAATGCGTTAAAGTAGTTGGGCCGGGCTAGCAACACTAAACGCGCTAGAGGCGGACTAAAACAGGTAAATTCCATCGTACAGCCGGTTGTACCGTGCGCACGGTACAACCGGACTTTTTGTTCTCTGCGCAGCACAGGTCGTCGTCTCCAGCAGGCTTCCCTCGCACCATCTCCATCTCTTCTTCGTCCATGAGAGGCTTCGTGTTTCGTGAGTTCCTCGCCACGGGGATTCGCTTAGCTCGCCTCTTGGCCGGATCTGTGATGATGGAGCTCTCAACTGATGTCTATGGTGGATTTCGCGATTGACGGGGATGAAAGGGCATCTCAACCATAGATTTGGCTTCTGTTTCTCCTTTTCTTCGTTTTGTGATGGAGTATAATCGTAGTCTTACTGATGAGTATACACAAATAAAAAGTTGAGTATAGTGGAGATTTTAATGAGTTTTTTTAAATTGTCCGATACTCATTTCGTAATTTGTGTATGCTCATTTCGTATTGGTGTAAACTCATTTTAAAATGTCATATTCATGCATTTTTCAAAACTATAATATTACATCAAATTCATATATTAGATTCATATAGATTCAAATTCAACGCCCTAAATCAATGAGCATACACAAATGAGCTTTTGAATTTTTTGATACTCATTTTGTACTCATTAAAAATGAGTTTTATATAAAACTCATATGAGTATACGCCTCAAAGAAATGAACATACACAATCGAATATTAAACACATTAAAAATGTGTGTTTTTTGTTAAACTTAAATGAGTATAACGTCCAAAATCAATGAGCATACACAAATAAGCTTTTGAATTTTTGGATACCCATTTTGTAAATTATGTATGCTCATTTGGTACTGCTTTATGCTCAATTTAAAATGATGCTCATATAAAATATAACGCCCAAAATTAATGAGCATACACAAATGAAGTTTTGTTTTTTTATACTCATTTTGTAAATTATGTATGTTCATTTGGTACTGGTTTATGCTCATTTTAAAATGATGCACATATCAAACATATCATACTACATTAGATTGACATATTGAAATTAATTATAAACACAATTTAAGAATTTTTTATAAACGAAAATTAATAAAAAGAAACCGAATTAGAAGATATGAAGCAGGGATCACTGGTGTTCATTGTTAGACTCCTAATACTTAGAAAAACAAACTCGATTTTCATCCAACTTACATCAATGCTCATATAAGAGAAATCATGAAGTTCATCAAATTTACAAAAATGCCACCGGCTATACGGTGACAGCCGTACAGCCGGCTGTATGGTATAGGCGTCCGACTAAAACATAGCCAAGTCACTTATTCATAACAACCACAACTCCACAAGAGATGGAAGTATGGTATTTATATCGGTTTGATCGGGTAAGGATATGATCGACTTCTGAGGCCTGAGGGTAATAATATACGTAGTATATCATAAAACTAAACTAGCTAGTTCTACGTACGTATATCGATCATAAGATGTGTAGGGCTCTGGAAACTAAAGATCCGCCGTCATCAAAAGCTCGTCCTAACGATCTGACGATTAACCTAGAAAGCAAAAGGACCTTCATCTCCAAGGGGATTCCGCTGCCGGGTTCTTTTGGGAATGTTGTAGTGCGCCAAGAGATACACGAGAACATAGAAAAAACATCATCAGAAAGTGATGCTTTTCGTGTGTTCAAGCATTATCGTGAATTGACGCCGGCCCGGGCTGGGATTGTGGATGCGCAAATCGACTCTTTCGTGGCCATGCACCCCATTGGCCGCGACGGCGACGGGGTGGTCGTCTACAAAGCAATCTGGATTCTTGGTTCGTTGACGGAGAGGAGGTGGAGCCACTCTGGGTTCCTCTCCGCGGTGAACTTCGTCGCGCTCAAGGTCGTGGGGGATAACCCAGAAATCGTGTCAAATGTGAAGGGGGAGATCATTGGAAGACACAATGATTTTCGTCATCCCAATTCTCTGAGAGTGCTTACCCATTTCAAGGACCCCCAGTCCAACAAATACTGCGTCGTGATCAGCCAATTCCCGGATCTCGGATCCCTCCGCGCCATAATGTTGAACAGGTTCCCTACAGGGTTTCCAGAGGACCTCATCCTCTCTTCCCTCAGATCTGTTCTGAATGCCCTGAAGCAGCTCCACAAGAAGCGCCGCACTGTGCACGGAGATATCAATTCCGGACACGTTTACCTCTGCGGCACCCCCTCGCTGCGGCACACTTGGGGCATATGCTTGGGCTTCGCTGCCGCTCTCTATGAAGACGCCGCCGCATGCAACGGGTCCAGTTTCCTTCCGTGGGCCTCTATGGCCCACTGGGCCGCTCCCCCAGAAGTGTACACGCAGAAGACGGACGTTTGGTTCGTGGGAATCACCGCTCTTGAGTTAGCCTACGGCGGACTCAATGTTACCAGCCGAGATGCCTTTGACGCACTCATCAATCATATAATTGTCCATAGGACGCTCCCCACATCCACTGCCACCCATTGTCTTGTTCTTGATGAGGGCGCTGCCACCGCCGCCGTGGTGCGAAAACGGCGTAATGACGCCGCCAAGAAACTCATGGCGAAACTGCTGCCTTTTCGCTCCTCGTCCCCTAATGGTGGTAAGCCTAGTGGTGGGCGTCATTCAGCATTTTCTGAGGCGTTCACTGACATGGTGATCCAATGCCTCTCTGGTGATCCTAAAAAGAGGCCGCGTGTTCACGAGCTTTTGTGCCACCCATTCTTCCAAAGAAGCGCAAATCGCAACGACGGAGAGCACTTTTACGATGCCGTGATGAACACTACTCCTACCTCATCACCTCCTATTTCATAACCATGTAAGTAGTACGTATTACTCCATATCATGGGAAAAAGAGGTATTTTTAACTTTGTATGGACAAAATTTGTGTGCTAAGTACGAAGTATAATTTTTTAGTAGTGTATTGTCATCATCCACCGCCATCTCAAATCGACATAAAAATACAAGGTGAACTCATCAATTGTCTAGAATTTGCCAATAACCCAATACTTTAAATTAAACTAGTTGATCAAGAATTTATTGAAACACAAAGCAGTGGAGTTATTATATTAATCGAGTAAGTTACGTTCATGAAGTACATCCACGAGCTCAAGGACCATTTTTAGGAAGTGTTAGGATCGTATATCCGTCTCCGGCTCAGGTCTTTCAACACACACTCTCACACACCACACTAGGAGGAAGCTATAGCACACCCAAATATTACTCTCCACTAAGGACCTAACTTATGCTCACACAAAGGAGGAAGAAAGGGAGCTCTGCTCTCTGAAAAGTGTTTCTCGCAGGCTACTCAACAGGGGAAGAAGCAAGGCTTCTAAATAGCAGGTTGGCTGACACAAAGGAAGTCACATGTAAGACCAAGACAAATGGGTCACGGGTGAAGCTATACAAAAAAGCCTCACATGATACATAGACAAGGAGTGCAGCGGACAGGAAGCAGAGAAGGGGCCAGCCAAGTGGATTGAGTCAACTACTCAAAATAGGTATATATTTGATCAGGATATATACCAAAGAAAAGGTATCCAAAGGGAGAATAAAATAGAGTGTGCAAGCCTCAACAAATAAAGTGGAAGGGAGGCCTTGGTAGGACCAATACCTCCAACATTCTCCACCTTATTGGTCCTAGGTGGTGTAGAGTAACAAAACAAAGTTGTGACAAGACTCATCATCGCCGGGTCACCCGGAATATCAACAGACACAACGGGCAAACACTTTATTAGGCAACCCACAGTTATCCACAATCAAAGTTTAACACGCGTTTACAGGACAAGTGCTTCTCAGCAGAAAGACACTTGGTACCCATATCCGCGGGGTTAAACTCCGACGGGATCTTGCACAGCTTGACTCCACCTGCATCAACAATATCACGTATGAAATGGAACCTAACATCAATATGCTTAGTTCTATCATGAAATACAGGATTTTTGCAAAGTTGGATAGCCGATTGGCTATCCGAGAAAATGGTAACTCCCTTTTTGAGAAACCCAATTTCGGAGACAAGGCGTTTGAGCCAGATGGCTTCCTTAAACGCTTCTGTGGCTGCAACATATTCGGACTCAGTGGTAGAAAGGGCCACAATAGGCTGTAGTTGAGACTTCCAACTAATGCAAGAGCCACACAAAGTAAAAACATAAGAAGTGGTCGACTTCCTGTTATCTCTATCATTTGCATAGTTAGAATCAACATAACCAATCAATTCAATACCACTAGCACATTTAGAGAAAATTAATCCATGCTTCACAGTAGAAATCAGATATCTAAGCAACCACTTAAGAGCATTCCAATGGGGCAAACCAGGGTTGGACATATATCTACTCAAGCAACTAACCGCATATGCAATATCAGGTCTAGTGCTAACCATAAGATACATCACCGACCCTATTGCGCTGGAATAAGGCACAGATTTCATTTTCTCAATTTCAGGAGCAGTCTTGGGAGACTGGTCCTTACTTAACACAAAGTGAGATGCCATAGGGACATTAACAGGAGAAGCAGATAACATATTGAATTTACTCAAAACTTTTTCTATGTAAGAAATCTGATTCAAAGTAAGAGTACGCTTACTCCTATCCCTAACAATGTTTATGCCTAGGATCCTCTTGGCATCACCTAGGTCTTTCATGGCAAAATTCGCACAAAGACATTTCTGCACATCTTTAATAGCATTCAGAGAAGGACTAATTATCAGCATGTCATCCACATAGAGTAACAAAAATACAGGCACAGAAGAAGTATTTTTGAAATACAGGCAATGATCACAAACAGATTTCTGGAACTTCAAAGATATCATGCATTTATCAAATTTGATGTTCCACTGCCTAGGGGATTGCTTCAGGCCATACAAAGCCTTCCTAAGCAAACAGACATGCTCACTTCTCTTGGGATCCACAAAGCCCTCAGGCTGGGTCATATAAATTGTTTTGTCCAATTCACCATGCAAAAATGCAGTAGTTACATCCATTTGTTTCATTTCCCAGTCATGGTGAGCAACTAAAGCAAGCATCATACGAATAGTGGTGAATTTAACAACAGGAGCAAAGATTTCTGCATAATCTACCCCCTCTTTTTGAGTAAACCCCTTCGCAACCAACCTAGCCTTAAACCTAACATCACTAGGTTCTTCCTTAACCTTAAACAACCACTTACACTCAACTACCGAACAGTTGGGGGGTCTAGGTACAAGGGTCCAAGTCTGGTTCACTCTCAAAGAGTCCATCTCACTTTTCATGGCACTAATCCATTTCTGAGACTCTTTGGAACCTAAGGCTTCACGGTAGGTCTTGGGTTCATTCAGCTCTAGGGATTCAAACACAGAAAATGCAAACATAGAAGTATCATGCACAATGAAAGCATAATCAGGCATACTATCAGCAGTTCTCCTGATAGCCCTTCTACTCCTATCTCTAGCAAGTTGATAATCATGCAAATTATCACTACTAGGCTCCACATGCAACTCATGCAAATTATTGTTATCATGAAAATCAGATTCAGCACCCATATCATGCAAATCATGCTCAGTATCATGCAAATGCTCCACCTCACTCGAGGTGGTGGGACTATCATGCTCAGAGGAATCAGAATCATGCATAACAATATCATCAGAAATAACAGGATCAACAGATAAAGGACTAGCAGCAACAGGGACAGACTCCACCTCACTAGGAGTACTATCAGACCTAGACTCAGGATTAGAAGCAGACTCGGTCAAGCAAGGAAAATCAGTTTCATTAAACACCACATTTCTGCTAAGGACCACTTTAAAGCCTACCTGGTTCCTATCCCATAACCTGTAACCCTTTACCCCCTCTGGATAACCTAGGAAGACACACTTCTTAGACCTAGGATCCAACTTGTCACCCTGTTGGTGTGCATACGCTGCACAACCAAACACCCGAAGGTTAGACAGATCAAGAGGCTTACCGGTAAAGACGGCTTCAGGACACTTACCACCAAGAGGGACAGACGGGGACCTATTAACCAAATAGGCAGCAGTAGTGACTGCTTCACCCCAGAATTTCTTAGACAAACCAGAGGTAGCTAACATGCTTCTAACCTTATCCAACAGAGACCTATTCATTCTCTCTGCTATCCCATTCTGTTGGGGAGTATAAGGCACAGTTTTGTGCCTTTTTATCCCACAATCCACACACAACTTATCCATCTCCTTATTACAGAACTCTAACCCATTATCGGTCCTAAGGGTCTTAACCTTCCTGCCAGTCTGGTTTTCAACTAGGGTTTTCCACTCCCTAAACCTCACAAACACATCTGACTTGTGTTCTAAAAGGCAAACCCACACCTTCCTAGAGAAGTCATCAATAATGGAAAGGAAATATTTCCTACCCCCGTGGGTAGGAACACTGGCAGGACCCCAAACATCGGCATGAACATATTCAAGCACAGACGAACACTTAGACAGATTAGGGTAAGAGGAAGGAGGGAAACTGACTCTATGCTGCTTGCCTAACACACATGATTCACAGAAAGGCACAGAAGTCACAGAGTCCTTACCAAAATAACCAGCCCTACGCATGACATCTAAACCCTTATTGCTCATATGTCCTAGCCTATTATGCCACAAAGAGGTCTTATCAGAACATACAACATTCACAGACTCAGCAAAAGGTTTAGCATGACACACATAAAGGTTATTCACCTTCTCAGCTTTAAACATAACAAGCGAGTTTTTCAGGATTTTCATACAACCATTCCCCCATTTTCCCTGTAACCCACTACTCTCCAAAGCAGCAACAGATAACAAGTTATGACACAAATCAGGGACATGCCTCACATTCTTAATGGTAAACACAGAGCCACAAGAAAATTTCAGACATATATCACCAACACCAAGCACATTGCATCTCTTATTATCAGCTAAGGAAACGTAGCCACTATCACACAATTCATATGTAGAAAACAAATCTCTAAAGGGGGACATGTGATAGGTACAACCAGAGTCAATCAACCATTCATGCTCAGACAGGGAATTTCTCACAGAATTAACATGGTCACAAACCATCAAAATATCACCAAGATCACATTTATCAACAGCTACACTAGCATGCTCGGTCTTCTTAGGGTGGGGGCAATCCTTAATGAAATGGCCAGCGTTACCACAATTGTAACACACTCTCTTCCTAGATTTACTCCTCTTCCTCCCAGGCTGACTAGCGTTCTTACCCTGACTATTTTGCTTAGGATTCTTAGACCTACCCTTAGATCTACCCCTAACAAACATAGCCTCACCGGAGTCCCTGGACTGACTAGCACTACCCCTAGCATGCTTTAGGTCTAATTCCTTACTCCTTAACCCATTCACCACAATGTCTAATGAAATCTCATCCCTACCGTACTTAATAGCGGACTTAACATCATTATAAGAGTCGGGAATGGCATTAAGTAATACTATGGGAGTGTAATCATCTATGTGTTTATCACCTGCCTGTTTGATGTTCTGTATCAGTTTATTAAACACATCCAGGTTCTCATCTATATCCTTAGTCAGGTCAAGCCTAAACCTAAAGAATTTCTCTAGTAAGAACAACTTCCCGGGCAAAGAGGTATCAGTATAGAGACTATCCAATTTCTCCCACAACTCCTTAGCGGACTCAAGAATACCCACTTTCCTAAGCACAGAATCAGACAGATTCAAGTAAATAGTAGAACAAGCAGTTTCGTTCATTTCAATTTGCTTAGCCTTATCTTCTGATTCAAGGAAAATACCAGTGACAGCTCTGAAAACTTTTTGCTGTATTAAAACACATTTTATTTTCTGTTTCCAAATATCAAAATCTGTTTTTC